TACAATTGTTGCGTAAAATCAGATTTCAAAGAATCATATAGATGTGCTTTCATAAAGTTTTCTTCACCAATATCACGAATCATATCCTCTAGATTATCATCCATCCCTTCGTCAAAATTGTCTGTAGTTGACATAGTTGGGATGTCTAATATTTCTTCATGCCATGTCCATATTGTATAACTCTTAATAATACCATAAACAAACAAGTGATCACATATATCCTCAAGTTTATGACGAATTTGATTCAAACAACGAACACATGGACAATAATAGGTCCCTTTCATAGCTTTTCCATTTTCACTAGCAAATTTCAAAAATTCCTCAACTCCCTTTTCGTACTCTTCACTAATACGACGTGCATTCATCCAACTTTGATTCATATTATGTTATAAAGTTTTGTCACTCCTAGAGATTTAAAATTTATATGTAAAAAGAAATTAATATACAAACAACAAAGCACGTAAATGGAGTGTGTAAATCGAAAATGCACTCAAACAAATAAACAAATAATTACATTCCAATAACAATCCAGTGGAGACATTCATACAATAACGTGATTGAGATCCCCAAAAACAATCACGGATTCAATTTAAACATATATTAGAAGACATAGAACACTAACCTCGAGTGTACACAAAAATGATTTCAAACTCGAATCCAATCGAAGAGAAATGTCCAGTTCGTAAAATGAGACACAATGTTGATGTTTTTCACTATCAAAATGATCAAAAATGGTGTGCAAAGGTAGTTGTTGTCGTCGTTCTCGTCGTCGTTCTCAAAAATCCTTGCTGCGCGAGACGAGGGAGCAGGTCTGGAAGAGAATTAAAGGCAGTTTTTACGTCGCGCACCCCAGCATGCGACGTAAAAAGCCTCTTTTACGTCACGCCACCCAGGTGCGATGTAAAAGTTTTGCCTCTTATTTACAAAATTGCCACCGCATTTTATTTACGTCGAATATTTTTACATGCAACGATAATTGGGTGACGTAGAAGCCCTTTTTTGCACTAGTGGTTAGAACCTTGTAGAAAATTTAGGAATTTAGTGATAAGGTGGAAGGAAAGAATCACTCTTCTTAAGAAAGGCGACTCACAAAGGATGTGAAAGTCCTTTGATACAGCCAAGGGTTCTTGAATCACTCAAGAATTTAGGAGAATCACTCTCACTAAGATAAAAGAAATAAACTCTAATATTTCTGAATAAAATTCCACTTGTTATTTTTGATAAAAATGGTTCAGCCTATATAGAAGTTTTGCCATCAGAATTACAAAGATTCAATAAAGGAAAATAAATGCTAATAATGATTCATTAACCTAGGAATTAGAAACTACTTAATGGAAAAAAATAAAGGCTAATAATGATCCATTAACCCAGGAATTGACACTAAATGACTGATTGTAACTGAAATTGTGACAACCAAAAGTCAATTAGCTATACACCCTCTTGGTCTCCCAAAGACTGATAACTAAATTTCCAATTGGGCCCTTATTACAACTTGCAATAAAACCAAACTAAAGCCCATTAATTGATTAATCCAAAACACAATTTGGTCAACCGACAATACGGGTTTCTTTTGCTTCCCTTGCTCTAGCCCTTGTCATAGGTCATGTTCACATCATTCTCTCCCCTTGAAAATGATTTGTCGTCAAATCGGATTCGTCATCTACATAAAAAAGAGATAAGTCTAACAAATTGAACGTAGAACTAACATTATAGTCACTTTTTGTGGCTAAATAGCTCTCTCTCACTTCAAGTATTTCACTCTTCTTTTGATCACTCTTTTTCTTCTCAAGTGTTTCACTAACGCTTTTTTTTTCTCTCTTTTCTTGAAGAAAATTTTCTCTCATTTTGTTTTTATCCTCACACACTTCTTGTGGACTCAAAGGTTTGATCACAATCTTTTTGTCTTGGTGCATGAAAGAGATCTTGTTGGTGAACCCGTCATGATTGATTCTTTTATCAAATTGTCATGGTCTCTCCAAAAGTAAGTGACTGAACTCCGTAGGAACAACATCACAAAGTACTTTATTATTGTATTTTCCAATGGAAATGTTCACTTCAACTTGCTTCCTCACTTGCACCTCTCCATCCTTACTAAGTCATTGAAGTTTATAAGACCTAGGATGTGGTTTAATAGGTAAATTTAGCTTTGATACTAATCTAGCACTAGCCACATTGGTGCAACTACCTCCATCTATGATCATCATGCACACTTTGTCATTAATTAAACATCTAGTGTAGAAAATATTTTTTCTTTGGCTTTCTTCCATAGGCTTCAATTGCCCATCAAGTAATCACCTATTCATTAATAAATCTCCCTTTGGAATCTCCTCCTCCTCTACGTCCCCACTCTCCTCTCTCTCTTCAACCTCAGATTCACTTATATCACTACTAAAAATTCTCATTTTTCATGGGAATATTTTTGCAAAGTTTTTGTAAAATTTGCAAGAAATAAGTTTTCTATAAATTTAAACAATTTTTTGCAAGAAAATTGGCAGAAAAAAAACTAGTTTTCTAGTAGTGTATTTTCTCCCCCTCTAAGAACCATAAAACTTTTGTTAGTACACTCATAAACATAGTGTCCTAGGCCTTGACATTTGAAACACTTCACATCTCTACTTCTTTTAGAGGGTTGTTCTTTAGACTTTAAAGGAGTCTTTGTAGGAATAAGTGTGGAACTACTAGAAGTAACAGTCCTATCTTTCTTGCCTTTGTCCTTCCAACTTGAAGATTCAAAGTTGGTAGAACTCTTCTCAGCCACTTCTTTTCTTTTGAGTTGTTGCTCCACTCGAATTTCTTTATGAAGTAAATCCTCCATATCAACAAACTCCTGCAACTCAACAATATCACGTATATCAATATTCAAACCACCAATAAATCGGGTCATAGTTACCACTTCATCTTCTTTAATCTTAGCTTGAATCATGAACATGTCCATTTCCTTGAAATACTCCTCAACCCCCTTGTTGCCTTGATAAGTTTTTGGAGTTTAAATTTCAAGTCCCTTGAATAACTAGCCGACGCATACCGCTTCCTCATAATCCTTTTCATCTTAGTCCATGTATCAACTATTGACTCTTCATTTCTACCTCTTTCCTTTTGTAGCTTGTTCCACCAAACAAGAATATAGTCAGAAAATTCCGTAGTTGCAAGCCTCACCTTTTGGGTCTCCTCATAATTGTTGCATGAGAAAACATTTTCATTTCCCACTCCAAGTATGCCTCCATATCACTTTTTCCTTTGAACGGAGGAATGCTAAGCTTGATTCCTTCAAGCCTACTTGGTCTTGCTACTCCATCATTCCTTCTCCTATTTCTCCTTTCTTCTTCATCTTCAGGATCTTTATTCTCCAACCGGTTCATGGAGATAATTGTTATGTCGTATCATTAATCCTTCCAAATGTTGTACCAATGCTTTCATTTGAAATGGACTAATTCATGCTTCTTGATTTTAATTTTCCTCTTTTGCCATCAATTTGATTTTCAAACCCTTAAATCGGGGCTCTGAATACCAATTGATATGAATCACAAGGGGTGATTTAGGATCTTTAGGGTTAGAACCTTGTAGGAAATTTATGAATTTAGTGATGAGGTGGAAGGAAAGAATCACTCTTCCTAAGGAAGGCAACTCACAAAGGATGTAAAAGTCCTTTGATACAACCAAGGGTTCTTGAATCACTCAAGAATTTAGGAGAATCACTCTCACTAAAATAAAAGAGATAAACTCTAATATTTCTGAATAAAATTCCACTTGTTATTTTTTATAAAAATGGTTCAGCCTATATAGAAGCTTATAAATGGTTCAGCCTATATAGAAGCTTTGCCATCAGAATTACAAAGATTCAATAATGGAAAATAAATGCTAATAATGATTCAGTAACCTAGGAATTGAAAACTACTTAATGGAGACAAATAAAGGCTAATAATGATCCATTAACCTAGGAATTGATACTACTTAATGAATGATTGTAACTGAAATTGTGGTAGCCAAAAGTCAATCAGCTATGCACCTTCTTGGTCTCCCAAAAACTAATAACAAAATTTCCAATTGGGCCCTTATTACAACTTGCAATAAAACCAAACTAAAACTCATTAATTGATTAATCTAAAACACAATTTGGTCAACCAAAAATATGAGTTTCCTTTGCTTCTCTTGCTCTAGCCCTTATCACAGGTCATATTCACATCAACTTTTCAGGATAGTCAATGAAGAAATCACTAACAGTTCTTTCATCAAACTTCTTTTCATGTAGATTATACACTCCTACTTCTACTGGATAACCCCAAATATAGAGGTCTTAAAATGGGTGTTCTTTATGTCCACAGTTCAACAAAGGAAAAGTGAGAAAGAACAAGTTAAAGCTGAGTATTGTATAATTAAGGAGCAATTAACTGACATCATGATAAAGTTATTACATACTCAAGTATTTGAAGGAATGTTGAATTAGGGAGATATGTTGATTAATAATTCAACAATTCATAATTATTGATTCTGTTGGAATGTTAGACCCAACTAATTTTCTATTTTATGTTATAAATATAATATATATATGTACAATTTGTAATAATACCTCTCTTGCTATCATTTTTTTTTCTCTTTATTCTATCCAAGATATTTCTCGTTAACGTATACTACTCTTTGCATTTTTTTTAATATATTTTTTTTTCTGGTAAGAAAAGGCTTCACATTATTATATCATGGAAAAGCTATACCAATCCCGCTTAAATGAAAAATAGAGAAGAGAAGTATTTTGTTAAATTAAAATTTGGGAATATCACCATACATATTTAAGCATAATGAGTTCATAATTGCTTATTCAAAATCTTTGAAAAATAAAATCAATTTAGTAATCCATTTTTTTAACATCTAATATTTCAAATATATCCTAAGACAAAATATGTGAAAAATATATATTATGGATGAACTTGAAATCAAAATCATAGGATGAATGTAAAATAAATCATTGTTATTATGAAAAAGTTAGTTGTATACTTGTTTGTACCTTACATGGAATAATTAGGAGAACGTGTCAAAGCTACTGAATATTGTATTGATTGTTTGATCTTCTCTAACTGTATCATCCGGATAGTGGGCTTTGGAGGTATTTCCAAATCTTCAATGTCGCCTTCAAGCATTTCCACTACTTTATTCATCGAGGGACGATCATTTGGTTTTAATTGTATACACCAAAGTGCAACAATGATCATCTTTTTTACTATTTTCTTTATCTTCTATTTCTTTATCTTCATCGTCTTTGATTTGATTATAAATCCAAAGGGGAAAGTAAAGTTGACTTGACCGTTCTGCATAAGGATTTAGATTTTTCCTCTTACTCGCCATCTCCATCAAAAGCATTCCAAAGCTGTATACATCATCAGCCTTATGAGATATTCCTCCAATATTTTTGTAAAACAATTCTGGAGCCATATATCCAATGGTTCCCCTTGCTGCTGTCATTGTCACAATGCTATTATCAATTGGATATAACGTTTGCCAATCCAAAGTCTGAGATCTTTGGAATGAAGTTTTCATCGAGTAAGATGTTATGGGGTTTGATATCAAAATGCAAAATCTGCATCTCACACCCATGATGGAGATAAGCAATCCCACGAGCCACTCCCACTGATACATTGTATATTTTGTCATAGCTTAAATCTACCCTTCCATCTTTGTTAAAAATAAATTTATCAAGAGATCCATTGGACATGAAATCATACACAAGAGCACGCTTTGACCCACTAATGCAAAATCCAATTAATAGTACCACATTTTGATGATGTATTCTTCCAATAGTTGCCACTTCATTGATAAAATCTTGCCCATTTCCTTTTTATTTGTGTAAAGTTTTGATGGCAATATAAGGGCCACTACGCAACTTTCCCTTAAACACAGAGCCATATCCTCCTTCACCCAACTTGCCTTTGAATCCTCTGGTCATCTTCTTAATTTCCTTGTACGAGTATCTTATAGGACTCAAATGGTTTTGTTCTAGATAATTTTCAATTTTTTCAAACATTGACAAATGTCTCTTTCTCCATTTACATATGAAAACCACAATTAAGAATGGTAGACCAAACAAAACTTTGTAAGCCCAGATAACTACGACAATTCATACAAGAATTTTTAGCTCAGTGATTATAATTAAATAAATAAATAAATATATAAATATTTATTTATTTATAAATGAATTTGATTTTTGTAATTCAGAAAATAAATTTTGGGAAGTTAGGAAATCAGCAAAGAAAATGAGCATCCTTTATTTTCAATAAAACACTACAAGAAAAAACACATTTAGCGATCGAATTTTTTCGATCGCAATTAACGATCGATTTAGCGATCGAGTTAATTCGATCGCAATTTAGCAAGCTGGTTTAACCATCGAAATATGATTTGGTTTCAATTTTTTATTTAGCGACCGAAATAGCGACCAATAGTTTGCGTCGTAAAATTTCGATCGCTAAATCGATGGCTATTCCATACTAAAATAAAAAAATCATTTAGTGATTGATTTAGTGACCGAATTACAAATTGAAATAGTGACCGAATTGAAATCGATCGCTAATGAATAATTTTTTTATTATATTTAAATTTATTTTTTTATAAATATACTTTAATTGTTTTAGTATATTTTTTACAATTCATTTTTTAAAAGTAATTTATTTTTTAAAAATAATTTAATTTTTAAAATATACTTTAAAAATAATTTAATTTTTAAAATATACTTTAAAAATAAACTTTGGTCTCAATATTAACAAAATGAAGATTAACTTTAATTTTAAATTACTAAAATAAAAATATTATTAAAAATAAATCAAATTTATTAAAAATTTAAATTGTAATAAATTAAGACTAGAGTGATATTAACTATTCAATACATTGTTTAAGAAAAGTTTAATAACAAATATTCTTTAATTTATTTTTCAATTGAAAATTTCAATTGAAATTAAATTATATTTTAAAAATTTATATTAAAAAAATTAAACACATCAAATTATCACATTTTAATTCTTCATTAACTTAATTAATTAAAAAATTACAATTTTAATCAAATTATTATAATTTTATTTTATAATACTTTATTTTTAATCTAATTTTTAAATTTATTGCTTTATTATTATTAATTACTTAACCATGGTTGTTGTCATATAATTGATATACCAAAAAAAATTTATATCAATATACATTAGATAATAAATATATTATTTAATTAAATTATTTATAAAAATATATTTATCTTTAGTTAAAATATTTTTTAGTTTAAGTATACTAATTAATATTTTTCATTTTTAACATAATTAATAACAAAGATTAAAAATATACTGCTAGAATAGTTAAAAATTTAAAATTAATCTATTTTATAAATACTAAAAATAAACCATATTTAAATAAATTAAAAATATATTTAAATTTATATTCAACATTCCTCCAAATTTGCTCAATAAATTTATAGGTCACATTTGGAAACTTCATCACTTAAATAACTTCAAAATTATTAAAAAAAAATTCAAAGCCGTTTTCTTGTCAGTTTTTTCAAAAAAATAGTTAATATAAGTTAAGGTTGTGCCTTTTTAAAATTTCAACTTTTTTATATATTGGATTTTCATTAAAAAAATTCTAAAATTGCATGAGAAAATAGAGATTTAATTATACTTTTAATAAATTTAAGATAATACTAGTTTTATTTTTATTTTTAAATATTTATTTTAATTTTTTAAAATAGAGAAACTATAATTTTAGTTTCTAAATACTAAATTTAAAGAATTAAATTTATTATTATTTAATATTTTAATTTTAGTATTAAAAATTTAAATTATATTTTATTAAATTAAAATAATTACAATATAGTTTTCTACTTTGAGAATTAAAAATATAATTAAACTAAAACTGAAAATATTATAATATATTTTTGAACTCTTTTTTATAATATTTTTATCATTATTATATTTTTGGATTAATTATTTTTCCTAATTTTTTATAAAGTCAATTTTAATATTTAAAAGTATTTAACATTTTGAATTCTGAAACTTTTTCTCTATTAGCAACTTTAAAAACATAATATACTAAAAAAGTATTATACATAATTATTTCATCCAAATTTTTAATAATATGATAAGTCATCAAATTCATATATAAAACAAATTTAATGATGGATTAAAATAGAACAACATTTATAAGAGACTATTTACTTATATTTATGATGGATCAAAAATGGAAATATATTTAAGTTTATAATTTTTTTTATGAAACACATTTAAATTTATAATTAACGAAAATAATGAAAATCTTAATCTAATATAATACTTTTAGTAATGTATTTTTTTATAAATTTAAACTTACTTTTTTTAGTTTAGTTTTTAAATTTTATGTATTATTATTGTTAATTGATATACTAGAATAAATTTATATAAAAATAGTCTTTATCTTCAAAATTCACTTCTTCAAATACTATCTTTATATTTTTCTACTGTTTCTTTATAGTTAAGAAGGTCAACATTTGTGCACACACTTAAATATAATATAAAATAAAGAGTATTTGTTTATTCTATTTTATTTCTAATCTATAATTTGAGTTTTTTAAATATATTTTATATTTTTAAAATTAATAATTTTAATGTAGTTATCTAAGTTTTTGATGTGATGAATTTAATTAATTGATATTATCGAACCATTTAATTTGATTTATTATAGTAAAAATCATAAAAATAAATGTTAAAATAATAATAATTATTTTAAATTATAAGAAAATAAATAATAAAAATATAAAATAAAGTATTTTATAAAAGAAGACTAATTATTATAAAGATAAAATAGAATATGGGAGGAAATGAGGATGATAATGTAGTAAAAATGATAGAGTTTAAAAACAATGTAGAATGTGAGAAGTTTAAAAAGAAAAAAAAGTTAAAAAAGGATATATATATATATATATATATATATATATATATATATATATATATATATATAAGTAATTGGATTAAATTTATTATCCCCTCATATATTATTATACATTATTAGCATAATTTTAGTTTAATTAAAAATTAGAATATAAATATACTATACTATACTAATATACCATTATATTATAATATTTATAATTTATTTTCATTGTGTATAAATTTATATTTTAAAATTTTTTCTTAAATATATAAAGATATAAATGTATAAAGATATAAATGTATAAATATATAAATAAATATATAAAGATATAAATACATAAATATATAAAGATATAAATACATAAAGATATAAATATATAAAGATATAAATATATAAAAATATAAATTTATAAATATATAAATATGTAAATATATAAATATATATCTTTAATATTTTGTACATGTAAATATAATTTATATATATTTTTAAACCTTTTTCTAATATTTATTTTTAAAATAAAATATTATTTTAAAATTTAATATTTTAATTTTTAATTTTTTCTTAAATATATAAATATATAAATATATAAATATATAAATATATAAATGTATAAATGTATAAATGTATAAATATATAAATGTATAAATGTATAAATATATAAATAAATCAATATATAAATATATCAATATATAAATAAATCAATATATAAATATATCAATATATAAATAAATCAATATATAAATATATCAATATATGAATAAATCAATATATAAATATATAAATATATCAATATATAAATAAATCAATATATAAATATATAAATATATAAATATATAAATATAAATGTATAAATATATAAATATATAAATATATAAATGTATAAATATATCAATATATAAATAAATAAATATATAAATATATAAATATATAAATATATAAATATAAATGTATAAATATATAAATGTATAAATATATCAATATATAAATAAATCAATATATAAATATATCAATATATAAATATATCAATATATAAATATATCAATATATAAATATATCAATATATAAATATATCAATATATAAATATATCAATATATAAATAAATGAATATATAAATATATGAATATATAAATATATGAATATATAAATATATGAATATATAAATATATAAATATATGAAAATATAAATATATGAATATATAAATATATGAATATATAAATATATGAATATATAAATATATGAATATATAAATATATGAATATATAAATATATGAATATATAAATATATGAATATATAAATATATGAATATATAAATATATGAATATATAAATATATGAATATATAAATATATGAATATATAAATATATGAATATATAAATATATAAATATATAAATATATAAATATATAAAAATATAAATATATAAAAATATAAAAATATAAATATATAAAAATATAAATATATAAAAATATAAATATATATAAATATATAAATATATAAATATATAAATATATAAATATATAAATATATAAATATATAAATATATAAATATATAAATATATAAATATATAAATATATAAATATATAAATATATAAATATATAAATATATAAATATATAAATATATAAATATATAAATATATAAATATATAAATAT